CTTTTCATATCATACTATTTTGCTTAGCATAATGTCCTCCAAGTTCAAACCCAAAGGCAGGATTTCTTTCTTCAGACTGAATAATAGTCCATTGTGTGGGTGTCTATGTGTGTATACCAAGTTTTATATATATATATATATATATATATATATATATAGTGTGTGTGTGTGTGTGTGTGTGTGTGTGTGTGTGTGTGTGTGTGTGTGTGTGTACAGACACACAGTTTGCCATGGCACAAGTACTCAGGACTTTAATTTCACTGCCCATCAAGAAATACTACCTTGGAAACATATTAGAGCCAAATGCTGCAACTTCTTCTGAGAAGGAATCGTGTTATTTTTGTGACATAGATCACCAACATACATAGAGACTATGTATGTTTAAAACATTCTATCCTATATGTTCAGAACAGCACTGGACACTATGTGCAGCACAGCACTATGTAAAACAGAGATATCCATATCCTTTAATCTACAAACCATTTAGGAAAGTGACTTATGAGAATAAAACAAAACAACATTATAACAACTAAGATTTATACTAAACACATGTCAGGTGCTATGCTAAGTCCTTTATATAGACTTTAAAGGACTCAGTTTATATATTGTTTTTTCAAAACAGTGTATAAGTTAGGTATTATTTTCCTAATGTTTTAAAGAAGAAACTTGGGTGCCCAATGCAATACAATTACAAATAGTCTAATCAGGTTTGGCTAACTACAAAGCCCACACTGTAACCATTACACGACATGAATTCTCAATGAGTGTATGATCAATCAGATGCTAAATTCTATGGCAAGATATAAGCTAAGAATGGCAAAGAATTCAGAATTAACATATTGACTACAGGTCACAGAATGAGGTGTCACAAGGGAGGCCAGATTTCAGTATGATTTTAAAAAATGATTAGTAGTTAAATAAGTAAGTAAATAGAAAGGGGCTGTATATTGTAAATACCAAGTTATATAAACCTTGTGCAAAGGTCAGAAGACAGGAATAGCTTGTCATGATCAGGGAGACAAGTATCAGGTATGTGATCTGTTCCAACATGGTTATATATCTGAAGTATAATATTTTAATTTTACATATTTTCACATCAACATGTAAATGTGTGTTAGTTCTCACTAATGTTCAACTCAATAATGTCAACTTTAATTTATAAAAAGGACTTTGAAGGCTCTGGAAAGGGATGTATTTTATAATGTTATTATAAGTATTCAGGGTAGCAAAAGAGAGAAAGGAATTAAATTAGAGTCCAGATTATCAAATCTTATTTTATTTTACTCCACAAAACAAAAGTCCCCAAGGAAATATCTTGATTTATACCCTCTCAATATGGTACACAAATCCGGGATCTATATAATAGCTGAAGCTTGCTATTCCATTTCTATGTCACACCAACAAGAATGAAAACCAAGCGGTTCAAGCAGATGAAGTCCAAGACTGTATCTGCAGAGAATAAGAACCAAAAGCATCCCCAGATTCAAAGGTTAGCCTGCTTTTTCAGCCGTTTACTTCAGGCTGATTCATCCAGGTAAACCCAGCACCTCATCTATCACAATCTCCTCTCTCACCTTTTCCAACCAAAGCTATTTTCAACATTTGTCTTTTTGAAAGTAGGAAAATGTAAAGATGCTTGTCGACTGACTCAAGGAATACCTTAAGTACAATCACTCACTCTTTTAAATAAATAAATAAAAGCTAAGTTCACATCTAGGAAAGAAAGCATAATAACCTCAAAAAAAAAAAAAATGAGGGTAAACCGGGCTCGGTGGCTCAGCCTGTAATCCCGTGCCTTTGGGAGGCTGAGGTGAGTGGATTGCCTGAGCCCGCGGGTTCGAGACCCGCCTGGGCAGCGAGACCTCATCTCTACAATAAATCAAAAAATCAGCCGGGCGTGGTAGTGCGCGCCTGTAATTCTGGCTACTTGGAAGGCTGAGGTGGAAGGATCGCCAGAGCCCAGCAGGTCGAGGCTGCGGTGGCCGGGAGCGGCCACTGCACTCCAGTCTGGGCGACAGAGTGAGACTCCAACTCAAAAAAAAAAAAAGAGGGTAGAATACAGCAAAGTACTACAGGAATCTATCTGGAGAGATTTTTGAGAAATCTCTCAAAAATCGTGTTGAGGCCAGGCTCAGTGGCTCAGCCTGTAATCCCAGCACACTGGGAGGCCAAAGCAAGTGGATTGCCTGAGCCTGTGGGTTCGAGACCAGCCCGGACAACTTGACAAGACCTCATCTCTATAATAAATCAAAAATTAGCTGGGCATGGTAGTGCATGCCTGTAGTTCCGACAACTTGGAAGGCTGAACTGAAGGATCGCCGGAGCAAAGTAGGTGGACGCTGGGGTGGCCATGAGTGTGCCACTGCACTTCAGCCTGGGTGACGGAGTGAGACTCCAACTCAAAAAAAAAATGGTGTTGAAAAAGTCATAGAAAGGGACAGAAAATAAAATCTAATAAATGAGTCCAAGGAAATAATTACAGTCAATTCATTGAGCATTCATAATTCAGAACCAAGGTAATACTAGCATTTTTTGTTTGTTCAAAGAAATGATAGAAGAATGAAATATGATAGAAGAAAACCTAAATAATATATACAGCTAGGGAAAATCTGTCAGCCTTTGGCATCCAAGGAGCTAAGGAAGAAGGCCCTTTAGAATTTTAAAATATAGCAAAACACATTGATTTAATTGCCTATAATCTGAGGTCAAAGCTTTTGGAATGGATCTTTGTTCCTAGTAACAACTACAGCAACAGTATTTTTTGAGCATGTGCCATGAGTCAGATACTGCTGTGAGCACTAGAGAGGATACAGCATTAAAAGTGACAGACAAAGCCCTGTCTTTATGAAGCTTACATTCTGTCACAATGAGGAATGATAAATATGGTTGGACCAAAGAACAAATCATGACTAATTCTCTGGTTCAAATAATACTGCCTCATAACAAGGAAGCTTTCTTGCTGAATAAGCAATTTTACAGAGACCTGAATGTTTTCCATTAGGAGAAAAACACTTTTTAATAGGTATTTGGAGGTTTAAAGGAATAGGATGGGAGATAAAAGACAAATCCCACCAAGTAAGAGAAGAGCTAATGTTCTGACCCTTCTGAACCCCACCCATGGAGAAAACACAGCACTCTAGGTTTGGAGTCAGATGGATTTAGATTTGAAGCCCAGCTTCATGCCTTATTAGCACGATGACCTTAGATAAGCTACTTAACTCTTTTAACAGTTTTCTCATCTGTAAAATCATGCTAAAAAAAAAAAAACTCTCATCATATTGTTATAAGCATTTAATGACTTAATTCATAAATGTTTTAATAATTCTATGTTGTACATACTTATTCAATAAATAGCATAGGTGATTTATAGATAAATTTCATATGTCCTCTTTTCCTCATGTACCTGCAATTTACCTATCTATCCCCAATGCCATTCTCCCAAACTTCTATCCTTCTGCTCTTGAAACACACGCCTTCTTCCAGATTTACAATTAGCTAATGTAAGAATCTAATCACTGAAAATGTGTTAATAAGAAAGGATAAGAGAAAAGTACAGTGACTACTGCTTGCCAGCTCAAATACCCCTCTGTGGTAAAAGATGGTCTTGGAAACAAACTGTATTAAAACTGCATAGGCCAGAGCAGTGACCCATGGTATGAATTTTAAGCAGCATTATCTGCTACTTCTGTTACATGTGCTAATATCTAGACCACCAATAATTTTTTTAAAATAAACCTTAAACAGATATTTTATTCTTTTTTATATAAATTAAAGTATGTGAAAAAATCATGTATTTGTCTTAAAACTGTCTATAAAACAAACATAACTCCTAGGAAGATAGGGCCAGAAAGTGGTTAAATGTCCATGTAACACTTAGATAGAGAAAAATCTAAAATACAATTCTCTTTTCGGCCCAATATTTCCAGACCATACCATGTTGACTTAATGAAATTTAACTAAATACAGAAAACCTTACTTTGAAAACTCCATCCCTAAAATAAAAAAGAAATACTAATTTTTTAAAATTCAAAATGATTTAAAAAAAAAACAAACTTGTGAATTAGGCAATAGCAAGAACGTCACACCCTTTGCTACGCTAACAGGAAAGTCTCTAAACTGATGGACTCAATGCTTGGACATGCGAGTCAACAATTCAATCATTTTTCTCGATGCTATCCATCATTGAGCACATTCCTGAATTTCACACAACCTGTGTTAAACGTCTCTCTGTCCAATTCTGATCAGAATAAACATTTGATGGAAGTAAAAGCTTGACAACCCTGACACCTAGTGGCTATAAAAAACTGGAAACGATCCAGCATAGGAACAGCTAGCGATTGTGGCAGTATCTCAAAAATATAAAACATTTAATCATTATGAATATTAGGTTTATATAAATTCTAAAGGAAATCCTATAATTGTTTGGGTTCCTATACAAGGAAGCAAAAAAAAAAAACACTTGCATTTGTAAAGACTATTTTCCTTCAATCTTCCACATTTAGCAAATTTTTACTCAACTTCAAAAATCAAAGAAAACCAAAGGTCAAATATTTGGCATATTTATGACTCTTTTTTTTTTAATTTTGTACATCCACATCTTTTCTTGGTCTTCAGATGACTTTTCTCCTCAGGTCAAATATGAAAGCCATCTGGTCAAGCCATTACAGAGATTCCCTTTGTGCTACTGAGGTGTCCTTAGTCAAAGAGTAGTTGAATCTTCACAAACCGGCAGGAGTTTTCTTTAAGAGAGGTATAAGGACACATGTGGAAACCCCTAAAAGTATACATCTAAAAGCAAGGACTACAATGAACACTGCAGGAAGTTGGACTACAATGAACACTGCAGGAAGCTGTATGAGCACAACAGATTAGCACAGTACAACATATTTCTACCCTCACCATTGATAAGTCTCCTCAGACTCACCCATACCTCTCACAGGAGGGATGACGAGAAGCCTAAAGTTTTCATCTCCTCTACCAAGGAGAGCTCTGACTCCTACCTGCTGACGTTTGAAGGCTAAATAATCCAAATTTTCCAGCTCCTTCCCAAGCTTCTGGTAGGTTTTCTGGAGGTCAGTTTTGTTGGAAACATTTTTAAGAGATTCAAATGTCCTTTGAAACTGAAATTGAAAATAAAAGCAGATCATTAGGATGGCAGCATATTTTCATCAAATTCCCAGCTAGTTAACACAGAAATAGTCAATAATGAACCTCAGTTTCTCCCATTCACAATACAGTGATAACAAATGCTAGCTAATAATATTTCAATCAAATAATTAGAAACAATTATAAAAAGAAACTGTATCCTAAGTAGAACCAATGTTATTGCATGAAAGAGAAGCCTATTTAGTCCTCATTCTAACAAAAAATAAATTCTTTTTTTTTTATTGTATTTTAGGATACATTGCTGCTTTTGAAGAAAAAATTTGAAGGTAACTAAAAGACTGAGTCTTTCAAAGGACTATAGAACTCTTTCTATTCCATCCCCCCCAAAAAAATAATTTTTTTAAACTGATCTGGTTGGTAAAGGTTTTAATGTGGCCCAATATAATGCTGTGGTCCCATTACAAAAGTGTCTGTGAACTCTTAGTTTCTTAGGGGCTTGTACATATCTCTACTATAGATATATATAAAACTAATTGTAATTATACTCAGCTTAACTGCTACAGTTATGTGTGTAGGTAGTGTCTTGGGTTTTACTGAACAATTTAGACAAGTGACTATAATATGCTACAACTGTGTGTACTAAAAATATGTGAAAATAGTTGAATGTGGACTGTGTATATGTGTATGTAAAAATTTCTGTGTGGTGCTGCTGTGGGTACCTAACATAAAATATGGTCTAGTGAATTTTAACCCTAGCGGCCAGTTCTATGATACTGATATGCTAATGACAGGAGTAAGACTGTTGACTGAGTATTTGTTAAATTTTATTTTTGTGGCCAGAGATAAGCTCAGGAAAAACTTTAATGTCCTACCTTAAAAATAAAATAAATAAATAATAATGAATGTATAATTTCAAATCATAATGAGGAAGCATTTAAAAAGCTTTAATTCTAATCATGAAAAAACATAATTAATAAAAAGATAGCTGCTTGCATGATATTTTGCTATAATGGCATGGAACTTGGTTGTCTCTGTAAAAATATCTGTGCAGAATAAGTCACCCAGCAAACTTCAACAAGACAGATCTCTCAGGAGCTTGCATTTTTAGAAAGAAGGAACAACATTTTGATGATCAAATACATGTCGCATGTTCAGCAAATATTTATTCATTTCTTCTCTATAATACAAATGAGCAATGAAATCAGTTCTGCTGAATCAGAATGCTCCTGTTCATTTTTAAGTCAGATACTAGATAAATACAAAGGTGACAAATTGCAGTGAATTACAGAATACTGTCTGCTACTAATAATAAAGCAAAGGGAGCTCACAGAAATTGGATTATTGGTTTATTTTATTAAATTAGAACATAATTTAGAGGGTTAGTGATTGAAAAGGTCAAGTAAGGTAATTTGCAAAACATTTGCATTTGTGCCCTCTTTATGCCATTTATTTTCCATATTCTCACTCTGTGCCATTAGACAGATTTCTACAGATGGAGATTTCACCATCTTAAATACATACACAAGATCTCCACTGTGCCTGTGATGCCATGAGACAGGCTAATAAGATTGTATATAGAGTATAACTAAGTTTCCAGAGAAATGATTTGACCCTTACTATATCCTACTCTATGAAATAAGTCATACTAAAATGGCACGCTACTGAATCAAAACCTCACTTTCATGAAAACAACATGTTAATCTATATCCAAGGTGATAGAAGGGGGGAAAAATGGAAAATAACAATGCTAAGCTTCCATGACAGGACAGTAAATTAAATTAAGTAAATAATCATTTAGAACCTACTATGCACAAGGCACTATGAATAAAAAAGATACTTCCTGCCCTAAAGAAACGTACAGACTACTGAGGAATCTAGACATGAAACTCAGAAGCAGGAAGGATACTAACGTTTATTGAGTGCCCTGCTCAGCCCCAAGTACTTGATGCTTTCCAACTTAATCCTCATAGGAACCACAAGAGTTCCTATTTCTCTCTCCATTCTACAAGTGAGTAAACTGGGACTCAGAAAGTTTTATTGAATTGGGTTTTTACTACAACGTTCATGCTCTTTCTACTCTACCATTAACTCTAACACAAGGCAAAGTAGTAAAGAGAGTACAAAAAAAGAGATAAATATGACATATAGTGAAACCTCAAAAAACACTCTGATACTGACTGAGAGACTCAGAGCACACACAGAAGACATAAGAGAATTTGAGTTGGACCTCAAAGGAAAGGAAGTTTTTTCAGAGTCTTAAAGGGAAACCAATTCTACCTATCAGCTTAAACATAGTCACAATCTGTTCATTTCCCCTCTCTTGTAAAATAATAAACAAGATCCTTTCAACATAACTCTAATAACCTTTACATGAAATATGTATCACATTGTTTGACCATTTCTGTGCCTTGCCCATTTCTTGGTTCCTTCTCACTATGTTCAAATCAAAATAATACCTTATCTAAGATTCTAAACAATTTAAATAAATTTATCTATGAATTAATATAAGCTATTTTACCAACCAATTCATTTAATTATAAAACATTCTTTATCCCCTGCATTGTCTCTTCCCTCAGAAACATGAGCTCTACTTCTTAAATATTTCTTTTTTACATTTATCTCTGTGAACTTTATATGACTCCAAAAGGGAAAAAGGGAACTTTAGGGAAAACATGCTTGTAAGACTTCAAAGTAAGAAACACAAAAAACTAGTACTTCCAGGTAATATATCCATGACCAAAGAAGAAAGGGAGAAAATCCAGTAATAATATATCATCACAAGAATGTTTTAACGAAAGTTCAGAGTTTGCATAATATGGAGATTTTAACTTGAATTTTCATTATCCAGGACTTATATACTCCATTAATTGATAGTAAAGAGCTCAAATTACTCTAAAACTATGATTTCATTTACTTAAGCAGATTTTTTTCATGTACAACAACAAATAATTGTCAAAATCTGTGGTGTAACTTGGTAAAAAATCTGTGGTGTAACTTTGGCTTAGATACCTATTAAACACACCCCATCCCCATCTGCCTACATATACACTTAAAGATGTTAAAGAGTAAAAGCAATAATTTTACTTTGCTGTAGTACAGAGGATAAAAATAAGCCTGATTAAGTTGAGGCCTAGATTTTAAAGAATATTCACTTGGTTTAAGGATTTTTCTTTCTAAAAGTCCACCCTGCTTTATCATTGAAATAGACCTCTGAGATTTTCTACATTAGTTCAGTACATTATAATTTCCTTATATTGATTATTTCTCAAAATAAACTATCACCCAGTGGAGATAAGTTGAGAAAGGAAGCACAGTTAACTGAAGAGATTTTACTATTTGGGGATTTTAACTGTTCAAAGTTTTTAGTGGAAATTTAAAATGAGCTAAAAACTCCAGAATAATGTGTTGAACACTGAATTTACCCTGTGTTAATTTTTTAATATTATAGCCAAATTCAAACTTTAAGAAAAAGCTCAGTGAATCAATCTGAACAAAAAACAAACCTAGGCATGTTTTAAAACTGTTAAAACTGAATATTAAAATGGTGTCTGAACTGAAAAATAAATTCAATTTATTCTATTTGACTACCTTATCATATATCACAGGGAGTGCAAGACAAGAATAAGAAGTTGCAAACACTAAAATTAAAAATAATTTTTCATCAAATTATTTCTGTTTAGAAATAATAATAGCAATCTATCAAACAAAACAACAGAAACTATAACTTCTCATGTTACATTAAAGTAACTGAAAATCTGTTTGTGCAAGAGAAGCATTAAAAAAGGGCAAGGGGAAAATATCTAGTTTGACTCAGCATTCCCTTTACCCAAATACATTTTTTCTCCTTTTTCTTGACTATATATATAAATAAATCTAAGCCAATATTCTTTGTAAACTACATATCCAATAAGTTTGTAAAAATTATATAGATTCATGGAGTAATTTGAGAAGATTGACATGAAGAAATAAGCTGAAACAGCAGGGGAAAAAATGCAGACAGGGATCTGGCAAATAAAGCTTTCTTCACTCCTCCCCCCACCAGGCCCTGGTTTCCTTTTGTAATCATATCGATTGATTCAAATAACTTTAGAGCTGCCACAGCCTACTAATTCCCATAATTTAAAAATATCAAGTAGCATTGTCCTAAAACAAGAGCCAGCTGAACAGTCATCATGTTTCCATATTTAATAATTTGTACATTTGTACAGTGTGCTAGGTACTACCTGTTACATAAAAAAAAAATCTTATAGTCACAGAATTATGTGTACAAAAGAGTATCCAATAAATACCTGGCTGAAAGCATTAGATCACCAAGTATGATCTTAGTGTCCCTAAAATGCCAGTTTGAAACAATGCCAAAAGATTCTGGAGGTTAGAGCAAAAAGAAGGAACAGTCAAAAGAATAATATATTAATACTCTATAAATATTAATGTTTAGAGTAGAAAGAAATTGTTTTAAGCATAAGAAATAACTAATCTACCTTACTTAAATATGGCAACTACAGAGAAATCAAAAATGAAGTATTACAGAGAAAAAAATTATTTAATTTTTCTGAACTTAATCCACTGACTTTCATACATATTTTCCAAATGAACTTACAAGATGATAATATCACTTATTAAAAGGAAGTTTACAGCTGAAGCAGAAAATTAAAGCACAAATACATATCTCAAATTTTTTGCTGTAAGGAACAATTATAAAAGTTAGGAACATAGAACAAAATTGGGCATGGGATCTAAATTAGAAAAAGTCTGCTGTAGTTGAAGGTACACTTGTCTCAATGACTGGGATTCAAGTTTCTGCTATGTCATTTAATAACGGCATAACTTTGGGCAATTCACTACTAGTCAAATGCTTGACTGTGTATCTATAACATGGATCAAATTGACTTTGCCTGCCTACTTTATAAGAAAAATAAAAGACATTCATTCAGCAAATATTTATCAATGGATAACATGCCATCATGCAAGAAAAGAGAAAAAAAAAAAAGTTCTTACCCTTACAGGGTTTACA